AAGTGGGACAGGATGAAATTCTACTTTTTAATAATTTAGTTGGAAATCACCATGTCACCTGCCCGCTCTCTGCTTTACATGCCAATGAGTGTTAGCCTGTTTCCCTGTTTTTTTCCAAAGGTAATAACACACATACAAAAATGCATATTCTCCCCACTATAAACACCACATGTATGTTTCTATCTCCATATATCAGCATAATACGTCTGAAAGTTCACAAAAGTGTGTGGGCTTGGTGAAATAAATGGTCTCAGCTTGTTTCTTTCTATTAGGAAGCTAGCTCATGAACACCTTAGTTCAAATATGCCCTCAGATACTTACTAGTTGTGTGATCCAGGGAAAATCACTTAACCTCTGTCTGCCTGAGTTTCCTCATCTGTATAATGGGGACAATGATAGCACTTAATGCTCAGGGTTGTTGTGAGGAGAAAATGGAATGTTTGTAAAGCATTTTGCAAATCTTAAAGTGTTACATAGATGCTAGCAACTGTTATTATTAATAATAATGATAATTACTAGTTCTTATTAGCAAACATACAGGCTAAAAAGATCTGAAACAAATATAAGAACTATCTAGACAAGAGTTTATACATTAAGATGGGCGGGAGGTGTCTTATATTTTGTTAATGAAATCAGTCATCAATATTTCCTACTGGAATACTTTATGATTACTTTCTATAACAAAAGAATATCCTGGCTTCATAAAGAAAGTATTTCTGGCTTCATAAAGAAAGTGTTTAAGAGGACTTTGCTTTAGGTATTTAAAAGATTTTTTTTTTGTAAAAAAAAAGTTTTGACAAGGGTAGGTATAAGGGGATAAGCAATTTATTTCACCAATCATACACTTAAAAAAAATATTTACAGAATCAATACAGTGTAGGGGGTAGAAAGATCGCCTGTGAGGCCAGAAGACCTGGGCTAAGTCCTGTCTCTGATGTATACTGGCTGGGTGACCTGTGACAAGTCATTTAACTTTCTGGTGCCACAGGCCAATCTCTAAGATCCCACATTGCAATGGAAGTGCTGATTTCATTGGTAGAGAGAGTTTTAGAGCTTCTATCCCTTAGATGAATAGAAGGTATCATTTCACATTAGATTCAGTGAAATTTCAGTGATACAATCAAAAATACCACATAGATGGGATAACACATTGTAGCCCTATTGTTAATCGACCACAGGCACTGAGCATTCATTCATTAATGTGCATGTTTAACCTGTACAAATCTAACCAAAACTATAGATGCTACTGAATCACTTTTAAAGCTTTGTCCTATGTATTTCTAATGTTAACACAAATTTCCAATGTAAACTCAGATAGGCAGATAGGTGGCACAATGGACAGAGCACCGGCCTGGAGTCAGGAAAGATTATCTTCCCAAGTTCAAATCTGGCCTCAGATACTTACTAGCTATGTGACTCTGGGCAAGTCACTTGACCCTCTCTGTCTCAGTTCCTCATCTCTAAAATGAGCTGGAGAAAGAAATAGCAAACCACTCCAATATCTTTGCCAAGAAAATCCCAACTGCGGTCGCAAAGAGTTAGGAACAACTGAACAACAACATGAAAAACTTTGGGTTTTTTTTTTTTAAACAATGGTAATACAAGGATTTGTTATTTCATCAGGACGAATACTCTTGCTACACAGAAGACAGATGTATCTCATTGATCACAAGACCTTTTTTAACTCGGTAGGTGGTTCTCAAGAGTTAAGAGAGCCCCAAACTACACCAACCAATGGTGAACCTGGTACTGATGCTCTCTGAACTTAACTATCCTGGTCCTGGGCTTGAGGAGAGCTAACAAGCATTGTTTTCTTGTTCTCTTATACCTTTCTTGCATTGAGTTGCAAAGTGGAATGACTTGGTCTGTAAAGCAGACCTATAAGAAGATAACAGGGTAATTTCAAGCTCATCTGAAAAAAAAATAAAATTTCTTTGGATTATTAACATTTATACTATTACTGTGCTCCTATATGAAAGGCTTTCTAGCTTGGTAAGATCTTCCAATCAATCAGCTAGCATTTATAAAGAATCTACTAAGTGCCTAGTGCTGGGCTTGAGGACCCAGGGTCACCCCTAATGAGATATGGCATCACAGTAAGAATTTACTGATTTAAGATAAAATAAAGAAAAAGCAAATTTTTTAAAGAATGAGGCAAATCAGGATGTGACAAATGAATGTCGTTAACTGTTAACAGTCCAAGGAACTAAAACATATCTTTATGCTTAACTCTTCATAAGGAAATATTTTGTATTAACGAGGAAAATATACACACGTGTAAAAGTTAATGAAGTTAAAGGTTTTCCACTCGACTCTAAAGAATATAATTTTACTTATTTCTATGACATTTAGGTGAGAAAACATCCTGAAAGCAAATTTTAAAGAGAAATATTTGATATTTTAAGCTCCTTGAGGGCAGGGATGATTTCAATTGGGCATTTAAAAACTGTGAAATGCATGAAAAGATGAGATAAACCTTGACAGGGGTTGCATCTTTCTAATGACTTAAAAAATAATACAAACTTCAGTAAGTTTATTGAAAGGGAGTTTACCCACAGAAGATTATATAATGTAGAAAAATCATTCTGAAGTACATAAGACATGGGTAGATTTGGAAGAGGAGACACAGTTATAGATCTGGTTGAATTTCTATGTATGTGTCAATATTCACTAACAATACTATGGATTATAATAATAAGTTTGCATTTATAAAACACTTTAAGGTTGATTTACAAAGCATTTTACATACATGAACTCATTTGATCCTCACAACAACCCAGTGAGTTTAGGTGAAATTATTATCACCACTTTAGAAATAATGGAACTAAGTTTCAAAGAGATGGACAAGTAGATAAGAATGCTAGGCCTGCAGTAAAGAAGACTCATCTTCCTGAGTTCAAAACTAGCCTCAGACACTTACTAGCTGTGTGACTCTGAGCAAGTCACTTAACCCTGTTTGCCTCAGTTCTTCCTCTGTGAAATGAGCTAGAGAAGGAAATGGCAAACCACTCCAGTATCTTTGCCAAGAAAACCTCAAATGGGATCATAAAGAGTTAGACACGACTGAACAACAATAAAATATCCTGCACTGGGTCACACCGTTAAGGAGTATCTGAGGCAGGATTTGAATCCGAATCTTCCTGACTCCTAGTATAGGAGTCTATCCACTCTGTCACCTAGCTGTCTCTAGTATTACTAAGCTATAAATGTGTCATTATGTCCAACCTGCAATACAGCTTATTAAAATTCCAACAACTCTACTCAAAGAAAGTTGCAGTTTTAAAGAAAACAAACACATAAATTCTCACAAAACACGTGGTAAATGAAGACATCCAGAGACTGTATCCACTATCATTGAAATAACCAAAACAAAAAACAAAAAACCCTTGAAAATTAAAAACCCCAACCCTGAATGTAATTTATTTTCTGAAGGTTCTGCAAATAAATGAAAATTCCTTCTCTAATTATTCTTAAGCATGGCAACTTAAAGGGTGGAACACAGCAGCTGTTTTTCAGGACAGGAAGTTAAAAAGTCAATTAAAACAAGCAGATCAACATCTCCAATTAAGAGGTTGTCTTGGGACATTTTTTCCCCTTCTTTTTCTAAGAGGTGTAGGTGGAGTGACTCACTGGCTTCAATGCTGGCGCACACTTGAGCTCAGACACCACTCCACATAAATGGTAAGTCTGTCTTATACTCAGTGCAGACTTCCAACAGCTGGAAACCTGCCACCTAACTATAAAAATACAGTAAAACCTCAATTACCTGGAATGTTCAGAGAAAGGGGTGGTTCTGTTTAATAATTTCCTACTTATCTCAATAATGATCAGAAAACCCTTTGTTTTAACCCTTGCAGTCAAAAATTTTCAAGATATATTAATATCACTTCCGGCCTTAGTAAAAACGTGGTAAACCAAATTTATACTTTTTTTGATGACTAGGCATCTTTCTGAAAAAAAATGAGCTTCAGATACTTAAGGAAGCACTGAACTTAAGAACTTAAGAGTTAGAAGACCTGAGTTCAAGTCCTGTGAAAAACTGTATGAATCTGGGCAAGTTACTTGAACACAGCCTCAGTTCTCTCATCTATAAAGTGGGGTTAATATTACTTGCCCTGTATAAGTTATCACCAAGTTATTCTGAGGAAAAAACTTTTGTAAACCTTAAATTACTGTCCCAGTGTGAGCGATCATGATTGTTGTTGTATCAGACATGGAGGAAGGAGTAAAACACTGGGCTGAATGGGTACTGAACTCAAGGAATAACCTGGTCATATCTTTCTTTAAAAAAACAAAACAAAACAAAAACTCCTGATAGATTTCTTATCATCCTTCTCTTTCTCCTATCCTAAAAGGGAGGAGATGGAGGTGGCACAGAAAATAAACCATTAATTGAGAATTTTTGTTTACCCAGATTTCATTTGGAACCTCATTAAAATATAACCACATATGCTATAGGTCAGATTTGGTATTAAGGTGTGAGTACGTGTGTACGTGTGTACGTATACACACACACACACACACACACACTCACTCACTCTCCCCTATCAAGAGTATTATTATAATCCAATTATATCACCTCCATGGGATCCCCAATGCAATGAGTCCTAGCAAGACTTCAGGAGAGTGTTATAGATGTGCCCAGGACATATCCCTTGGCAACTCATCTTACTCCAGAGATTTGTCAATCACTATTATATACCAGGGAAAAGTCCAAAGAACTTTAGGGACAGGTCAGGAGATTGTCTTTTAAATATTTTTTACAACTCTAGCAACAGCTTATTGTAATCAAATGTGTGAGTCTGATGGGGATAGCAAGTAGTTTCATCACACATGGGCTCTGGTCTCAGTCTGTTATGCTCCCACCAACCTGAAGTCGTAAGTAAAAGTCAGGCTTCATAAGCACTCTCTGTGAGGGACAGATGTGGATTTATTATGTACATAAAGGCTTAAAAGTTAAAACACTCGAGCAGGGATAAATATTTGTTCGTTAGGGCTACCTTCACGTTGAATGTTATTTCCTCCATGACGTAAACTCGTTCAGGAAATGCTTTCGCCACCTCCTCCACACTGTTAAAATACTGCACTGGTTCCTTAATATCCCGGTCTTGTTCCAGCAGCTTAAACTGCCCTGAAAACAGATGATAAACAGAAGTACTGTGAGTGAGATGTTTACACTGGACAGCTGTCACTGTGGCAACTGCACACATCTCTGATCCCCGTTATCCTTTGGGGAAGTCTTCTGATTATTGGAAAAATCACTTCAAGGGAAAGTTCTAACCAGCTAGAAAATGAATGAAAAAAAAAATCCTCATTTATTTTGTGCTCACATTATTCTGTTATGGTGAAAAAAGAGTCTCCAGAATTAAGATGAATAGATGTCTACTGGAAATTTCTGTTTTGAAATAAAATTAGCAATTAACTCTTCCCAGACAGTGAACTTACTTTAAATCTTATAGATTTAATCTACCTTCTATAGTAAATTAATCTTAATTATGTTTCATATATATTAGCAACATACCCCTAGCCCATGGACCTGGATTTTTTACTTAAATGGTATCTTGTACAGATAAAGACACAACTTAATATATTTCTACACAGTCTCAGCACTTTAGTTGTAGCACTTTTTCTGTATTAAAAAATTCATCTTTTAATGCTTCTGACTGAGAGCATGGGACCAAGTAAAGGCTTTTAGCTTTTATCAATAGTTATTTTCTGAATTCTGTTTGTATTCTAACACTTTCAGAATCAAAGAAAGCAGTTAAAAGCTCTGATGAGGCAGATTTCACACTGTATGAGAAACAAACATTTTTCAATAGAGAAATGACTTCAGTGGTAGGAGACTGCACTCCTGCTAGGGTAACAGAAGTTGGAGAAAATTGTAGGACCTTGTCAGAACACTGGCCCGATTAGGCAAGAATACTACTGGTTATTCTTTATTGTGTATATTGAAGAAATAATTTGACCCAGAGCATAACAATTCCTAGAAATGCAGGTCCCTTGAAAATGGGTCTTTTACTTCCATTCTAAGCTGTGGTGTGAGTAGGTTCAAAATATATTGGGGGTTCCTCCCCTTAACATAAAAATCAGGTTATAAAGAAATGGGATTCAAGGAAACAGTATCTAGAAACACTTCAAATGCTTTCTCTTCTGCTCAGTACTAGACAGTATTATATATATTAAAAACTCCTGCCTCACAGGAAGGTTGAGTCTAAGTCACCACAAATTAATTCCTCTCTTCACAAAGTTTGTTACTGCAAATACCACTATGAACATTAACAGCCCAAGAACAGTGCATTAAAATCTTCACTGCCAATGGTAATATGTTGACCGCTCGCTCTGAGAGGGGGTTAGAAGTTCTGAAGTCCATCAAGGCCCAGACTAAAAAGAAAACAATGACCACAAGGTCAACATGGCACGACACCTCCCCTGGAGGTGCCCTTTGAGCTCATGGCAGTGTTTTGTATCTCATCAGGAAGGAAGGCTTTAAAATTTGATTCATATGAGGATTAAAGGATCATGGCTTTGGAACAGGAAGGAAACTCGGAGGTCATCTGGGTCAATCCCTTCATTTTACAGATGAAAAAACTGGGGCATAGAGGGTTAAAGTAATTTGTCCCAAAGTTTTTGTTGTTGTTCAGTCATATCCGACTCTTTGTTCCCCTATTTGGGGTTTTCTTGGAAAAGATAGTGGAGTGCTTGGTCATTTCCTTCTCCAGTTCATTTGACAGATGAGGAAACTGAGGCAAACAGGATTAAGTGACTTGCCCGGGGTCACACAGCTAGTAAGTGTTCGAGGCCAGATTTGAACTCAGGAAGATGAGTCTTCCTTACTCCAGGCCCGGTATTCTCCTAAACGCTCTCTGCATTTAGAGCACCATGCAGATAGGAATCACAGTCAGTTATACACTTTCAAGTATCATCTCCTAAGGATAACTATCCTGACTGCCTGCCTCCCTATACCTTGTGATCCTGTGCCACACAGGATCACTGATCTAAAGCTGGAAGGGACCTCAAAGGCCATCTAGTATAATATCCTCATTTTGCAGATGAGGAAACTGAGGCCTAGGTGGTAAAGTGACTACCTTGTGGTTTTTACACAAAGTGGCAGAGCCTGGCTTTGAACTCAGGGTCCCTAACTCCATGCCTTCCAAGGTCCTAACTGCTATAAATCTGATTCTAGGAATTGACAGTAAAGCACAGCACTTAATCAATATCTCTTATTATCTCCCTAACATATATACACAAACATTTCTATAGATATGTTGTATACACACCTACACACACACAGCTTCTAATTGGTGAGTCACTAAAGGTTAGGAAGTAGGCCAGGAGACAAGACAGTTGTGGTAAACATGATCCAATTCCATTTATTCGATATTTTCAAAATAATACCCTCTCCCGACCCCACATAGTTAAGTAAAAAATGTTTTCTGCTAAAATAGCACATGTCTTAATAATTAAAAAACTACTACATGTTTGTTGGAAGAGTCTCTGAAATCATATCCTATGCTATCCCAAGTATAGCTCGTGACGGCAATTCTTTTCTAAGTTAATAAGGGTAAAAAGTCCCTCCAATGGACTTCTCAAGGGAAGGGAAAAACAAGCAGCTGCCCAATGGGAATGCTCACATTCCCTCAAAGTATTTGTTTAACTTTCTGAGAACTCTGTTGGGATTCCTGTTTTTGACAAAAGGGGCTTAGGATACTTAAACCAATCCATTTTGGGTATCTGAGGCTGAACTATTTTTTTTTTTTTCACAACATGTCTATGAGCTCTGTCAATCCCACAAACTGGAAAAATTGAGTCTGTGGAAATTAAATTCCAGAGACCACCTAAAGAGTTAAATGCACCCTCCTCCCAACCTTAATGTGAAATCAATTTACACACACATACACGCTACCTCAACCTCCGTATAGGGGAACGGATTTTTTAACAGACCATTCCATGAAAAACATAGTCTTTGTGCCACCAAACAAAAACATCTGGAGGTTGCTGAAACATCTGTTCTAAGATGTTACTGTCAAGCTGTGTTCCGAGAGAGGGAGGAAGCTGAATTGTCTTTGATGGGTAAATAAAACATCTCCATTTGTAAGAGGCTGCTCCATCTGCAGGACCTAGAGTCTCACAAGAATTAATATATAATAATAAAATGTTCATCCAGGGGCAGCTAAAACAACAAAAGCAAGAACCAAGGAACCAAGTTTATACTCTGAATATATTCTTGCTTATGCTTTAAAATCCCTACCCACATAGCTTGATGAAAAGTAATGCCTGTTGCAGTTTGCCTCCTCTGTCTTAGGTAGATCACAGTTGATAGCCCTTAAACTTATCAAAATCTAAAGCTTAGCATGTTCAAAGTCTGGTCACTGTGGTTGTAGCTTAGAAGGGCACAAGAGTGGCTTTAACACTGGACAATGGAAAAAAATATTTTGGCAGTCAGAAACAAAGAATGGAAAAATGACTTTCTAACAAAAGCTAGCAAAAGAAGGGATACACAAAGGAAGTCAAAGCCAGATGTAAACTTTGCCACTTGTCAGATGATTCAGTAAAACATGCCTGGGGTGGGGGGAGGGAAGAGGGGGTGTTGGGAGATTGGGAAGTTTGGGGCAAGAAGGCTTACTGGAAAACAGATACTGAGCATTGTCTATGCCAAATCCTTTTCTTAGCTATGACTGTGCTCTTTGCTATCCATTTAAGCAAGATACAATTTTAATCTAGGAATACAAAAGGAAGCAAAAAAGGTCATTACAACAAAAACCAATCTAGTGGCCACCTGGACATCCAGAATGCAAATAAGCAAACAGCATTCTGCTAAAGTGTGTTCTCTGCATGGCCTGCAACTGGCCCCTGTCAAATATCACAGAATGATAGGAAAGAAGCTGTTTTCCAAACAACAAACACTGACCAAAGCACAGCAGAAATCAAGAAAGGCTCTGGAGGGACAAGATATGGGTTCAAATCCCACCTCTGAAACTTATTAACTGTGTGACCCCTAGGCAAGTCACTTTAACTTTTTTAGGCCTCACTTTGTTTATCTGTAAAATCGAAATAATAATAAAGGTAGTGGCTCCTTCACAGTACTGTTGTTAAGTTCAAATAAGAAAAATGTGTGTAAAGTGCTTCACAAACTTTGAAGAGCTATTGAAATGCCAACTGAAATTTGAAACTGAAATACTTTAAAGTGCTGTTGAAATTGGTAATAGTACTCTGCTCACTTAATATTGCTCTCACCTCTTACTAATAATTCATATATATGTATATATACATATACACACACACACACACACACAAAACACTTTTAGATTTACTTTCCTTACAACAATCCACAGAAGTATGTAAGCAGTGCACAAATTACAATCACTGTTTTACAGATGAAGAAACTAAGACTTGAAGAATTTAAGTGAACTGCCCAAGGTCATACACCTAGGAAGTGCCAGAGGCAGGATACAAACCCACGTCTCCACCAACTCCAACGCTCTTTTCACTAAGCCTTCCCTAGGATTTGAGACATCACATGGTCAGACCATTTCAAGTTAACTGAAGCTTGTGGACAAACAGCATAAAGTACTCAGAGAACTGGCTGATGAAATCCCTGAGCTGTTACTGATTATATTTGAGGATGTGAAGAAATGGCAAAATCACAGATAATGGAAAACTTCAACAGTTCTCATTTTAAAAGAAGAAGAAATCAAATTAGGGCAGGTATTGGGGACATTCTAGTTTGGCGGATTTAATTTCTCTATGGAAAGATCTTGGTGAATTTCTTTTAAATATCTGACTTGTGTATATACCAAGCAGGAAAAGCATGATATTCTTCCAAATAAAGAAATCATCACCTGCTCAGCAGCAATATTTGAGGAAGGGAGGCAAAGTAATGGCCTCACGCAATAATAAAGGAGCTCTGGGGTTAAACATCCGGGAAAGCTTTTTGATAGTTGGGTCACTTGACCTGAAACATTCAGGTCAGTTGACCTATGGCCAGTCTCTCACAAAGATAGCTTTGAAAAATTGATGAAGTGATCCTTCCAAAGGGAATGGTTTTAGTCTGGAAACTTGAGCCTGTTCTATTGCGGGAGGTTGTATTATGTAAACTGAAGGGCCCTTAGAAGTACTAATTTTAAGTCTGTC